TACAAGGGGGAGTGAGGCCAAACCAAACATTTAAAATCATTTCATTCGTTTGTATGGAATGGAGCAACATAGTTGATGAACAGAATGGAAAATCAGAATTAGACAATTATCGATTCTAAACATATAATTGAAGACTAGGATGTGGAAGGATGTTGAGCAACTTCCAGGCACCACCAAAACAAACCTGAGCCACACAACCTCCTCTCCACCATGAAGATCTGGAAAGAGGACAGACTACAGCACACAAGAGGCAAAATCCAAGCACACAATTGTCACTGAAGGAAACAAGTCACAGAAAACGAGAGAGAGAGAGAGAGACAAGATAACCACAGGGGAGAGAAAGACAGAGAAGAGGATGGGAATCCTGAGATCCAGAGGAGAGAGAGAAGTCTGGGGATATTGCCAGCACAGACAGCCTGCCTGAAAGGAGAGGGGAGGAGGAGAAAGAGACATATAGGCCCACAGCCTGTATACTGACATGGGTAAGGGGACAAATAGGGCTGGAGCGATGGTTCAGAATGTTTACAGTAATCTCACTGGCAGGGCAACATGGACTGTGCTACACAATAGGGCATATAGATCATTGAGACTTAGACCAACCTGCCAGAAGGAGATTGGTAACAGGTGCTAGAGCTGAAGTAATCGAAGAATAAGCTGCTTGAATCACACTGTCTGATATCAATGGGGAGGCTATTGCAGAGGAAACAAACACAACAGAACAAAGTCTTGCATTCAGCTAGACTTCTGAGTGTGAAGAGCATGGGATGGTATATAAGGTATAAGATCAGACAAATATGAAGGAGCATGCCCATATAGGACTTTGTATATCATTATAAGCATTTATAAGTCTAATCTCACATGTTTATGTTGGGTTGAGCCAAAGACCTGCAACATTTTAGCTTGCACCTTTTTAATCTTAGTTTTAAGGAGTTGCCCTTTTAACTTTCTGTATGAGTCATATTAGAGATGAACCATCATTATGCAGGCTGACCGCATGGATTGCATGAATAATCTCACCATTTTAGTTTCAATTTCTCTTGTATGGTGTTAAATACAAATTGTTCATCCATGTGTGTGCTCACGCCACAATGCCACAGTGACAAATAATAAAAGAGACGGAGCATGAACATATGAAAGTCTCATGACAGTAGTAACACTGACATGCAAACTAATACATTTAAAGAAGACATTAGCTTAGTGGAAGTACAACTGAGCAATTAAGAAATGAAAGATCATTTGTGATGCACCTGAAACCAAGGCAAAAAAAAATAGCTAATGCACATGAAACCAAATCTTATAGTGATAATTTCACAGAATTTATAGAAAGAAACCACTATGCAAGGATGATTGTAAATTAATACAAATGAAAGTACTTAAATGCAGCTTGATCTAGATTTGCATTTTGTTAGAATTGGATTTCAGGAGTTGCAGTTGTTTGCTTTACTGTTAGTATTATTTTGCTTTATAATGATAAAGTTTAGTATGACTGTCTGTGTTTTATTAACAGCACCATGTATCAGTATTAACCTGGCTCTCATACATGCAGAATAGTTATAATTTTCAGCTGCAGGTCAACTTGTAGTGTTTCTTATTTTCTTGGATAACTGTGCAAGAGTAGATTGCATAGATAAGTGTCTTGGAAACTAAAGATAAGATATTGTTAATTTATGCTATTTTACAGACGTGAAGTCTGACGGGCTTGAACTTTTCACTCATGTCTGAACTATGAGTAAGGGGTTTATACAACAGAATCAGTGAAGTAAGTGACACAGCTAACTGCATGTCCATTTTCAGTTAGAGAGAAACGCCTGAAAATAGAAAATAACACACACACACACATACTGTCTATATGGACATTCTAGAATAGTGACGTGAAATGTACCACCCATGTATAGGGCAGTCCCAGCCCGAGAAGATAAATGTGAATGATTTGTGATTATCGATGCT